AAAAAGTCTATTTTACTCCTATTATGATAGTCGTCACATATTTTTATAATTTTTTCTGCGTGGTCTTTGTACTTCCGTTTAACACCCATCGTCATTCCTGCAATTAGTTGTTCTATTTGTAACTTCATAAGACTCTCTTCCTTTTTGAACGAATCTATACATTTCCATATAGTTGGATGACATGCGTTCAAACTAGATGCAAAGCCATTATGCCACCCTTCAACAGAATTGTTGGTCCGGRGGATATTTTCGAAAATATATTTATGACAGTTCCACAGCKTCACTGGAAATAATGCTGGTTTCCTTCGATTTCTTCGAYCAAGACRCCCAATCCACGTATCTTCAAAATAATTTGTCAAAGGTGTTAATATTTCTTCGTTCAGTGAATAAAACTCTGAGTCCAGTAGTTCGTTCCAAGCATTTTCTACATCCTCTTCTAGTACAAAACTAAGTGCTGCCATCATTCTAATTTGYAAAGCAAATTCCGAGTCTTCCATGTACCTTTTTTGGAATCTTAAATTTTGCAAGCGTCTCCAAATGCTTTGCGATAAATGAAAAAAGCACCCACGAACTGATGTGTTGGTAAAAACACTTTGAATTGCATTAATCGCAGCTTTTTCAAGGTCAACCATAATTGATTTTGGATTTAATGATTCGTTCAATGTTTTTAATGCGTTGTAGAAATTAACGTATGTGGTTTCCGTTTTATTTGGTAGCAATGCAAATATTGATGGAAAAACATTGTTAAATTGAATTCCGTGAACAGTGTAAATTTGGTAGAATAAATTTGGTGACGTAGAAAAAGTTCCATCAGCAAACCAGTGTTCACATTTTTGTAGAAGTTTTAGGTTTTTTTGGGTGGAGAAAATTAAAATTCTATTTTCTACAGGACCACTGTCAAACAATAAAAAAGGTTTTCCGTCAAATGTTGTTCTATAATCGTCTGGTATGATCAATTCTAATAAAGTTTTTGGGTTTGGTGGAACGGCTTGTTCTTTTTGTCGAATACGACGTGCTGTTCTCCTTCAGACAGACACTGATGGCATTATTGCCATATTTTATAGTATTTTATAGGTATTTATATTTTAGGTATTTTATAGTATTTTATATTATAGTTATAGGTACACATTTATTATTATCGTTATACACAAATACACACGTAATACAGGTCGGGTCGGTGTGTGAGTGCAGCGTACAAAGCAGTTTGGTGACCGGACGCGCGTATTATTATTATTATATGTCCCCGGCCCGCACATTTTCCTTTTTAAATTCATTTTCCGGTATTTTTAATTAARTTYTGATAATTCACATATTTTAACTTTGTTTTTTGTAAAAAAAGTTTCACATATAATTCAAATTCAATCAACATTTTAATTTTTTTTTATTAAATAAACACATTTTTATAATATCCTATACAATCTGCAATATAAATATAAAAATTAAATTAAAAACCATTTTAAGTGCATTTTATTTTGCATTTTTTGCATTTTTAATTTGAACTTTAAATACTTATAAAAAAATCTTAGTTAAAATATACAATAAATACTGAGACAGATTTATTTAATATTAACTTACAGAAGTCGAAGCTGAGCTAATTACAGCGCGAGTACTTAAATCCACATTTTGCGTAGCCATATTTTTAATCAAATTAACGGCTTTGGCAGCTTCAATATTTCCACAATCYTGTACATGATTATGTTGTATTTCTTTAAGTATTTCATTATTAAGAAAATGAATACGGCCTTTACAATTCATTTTTTTATATTGGTCACATTTCCATATTGACTTTTCTTCGGTTCCAAATTTTTCAAAAGTATACATATAGCCGTTATAAATTAATTTATCTTTGCCTTTTTCACTCTTAATGAACTCCATTATTATAAAATAAAAAAACAGTAAACACACACAATATCGTACTAGCATGGACTAACAAATGCAAACAGTATGTAATGACAAATTGGTACGACCATCGGAATATAGATGACGATAAGTCGATAACGATCGTATAAGCTTATCTAAGTTATTGCCACGCTAGTTCAATTATCTCGTGTGTACATCATATAATAGTACCTATATAAAATTATTACATCTGTTAATCTGCACATTGTAAATTGGATATAATTATATATTATATTATATAATTATAATTGGATGTAATTACTATAATAAATAAAAATTGTTCGTTTGACGATCAATTATCTTAGCGACCAATTATATTCACGATAAATTCACCCGCGATCATCAATTCACCGGCGATCAATTGTTCGCGACCAATTCACCGCGATCCGTCGTTTCTTACGGCAGATGAACCACAACCGTCACCAAGTTTTAAATGTTGCCAAGGAGCCCACYACCTTAATATTTGTGGGAAATTTGAAAKGCTGGTCCGTAGAGACGCGAACAAAGTGGGCGCGTGAGAATCGTATTTGTTTCCGCTGCTTACATTCGGGCCATTGGGTGCAAAGATGTCGTTCCAAATCGTCATGTAGCAAATGCTCTCATCATCATCACCTATTGCTTCACAGAGATGCTGGGGCGAAACCTAGTTAACAGTCCGAACSAGAGACATCATCAAATCAAATTAACGCTCCATCTACTGCATCATGTATGGGTCGTTCTGATATATTTTCCGCGCTCCTCGGTACTGCACTAGTACATGTTCAAGATGTCACTGGTAYGCTTCACACTGATCGTACGCTGGTGGACTCAGGTTCACAAATATATGCAATAACAGCGGCATGTTCGAAGTGACTTGRATTGCATAAAATAAAGTGGTCCTCGCCTGTGTCTGGGTTAGCCGGAGCAACTGTCCACAGTGTTCAAGGTTTGGTTAACTTCAAAATCCAACCAAGATTTTCTTCGGATCCAGTGTTACCAGCATGGGTCTTTCCTCGTATTACTACAAATATGCCAAGGTGTTCCTTACCAAGTGATATTACAAATCAATATAGTAACTTAGCCCTAGCTGACCCTTCATTTGGAATTSCGGCGCCCATTGATCTCCTGTTAGGTGCTGACTTGTTTGCTCTAATTATAAACGGAAAACGGGTCTCAGTTGGTAGCTCTTACCCAGCCGCTTTCGGGTCTATTTTTGGCTGGATAATTGTAGGTCCTATATCAGACCCCATTCAACAGCCATTAACTTCGTGTCCAATCTCCTTAACCACGTCGTTGGAATTAATGATGGACAAATTCTGGAAAGTGGAAGAACCCGAGGCGGCCCCAGMGGATTTCACCGACGATGGAAAATGTGAGAGAATATTCCGGCAGGGGTGTAAACGTTTGGAAACAGGTCGTTTTTCCGTACCACATCCGTTCAAGCAGACAGTATCCGATGACAGTTTCGAGGGTTCACGGGTGGTTTCACTTAAACGCTTTCAACAGTTAGAAAGAAAACTGGGGCTGATCCAAGGTTACGTTYCTTGTACTCCAATTTTATGTCAGAATACAAGTTATTGGGGCATATGACACCGGTGTCCACGACAGGCAGTTACGTTATACCACATCACGCCGTGTATCGCCCTTCTGAAATCAATCCGAAGATCCTAGTYGTGTTCGATGCGTCGGCTAAAAGCCACACTGGTCTCTCACTGAATCAATGTTTACTTCAAGGGCCTAAGCTTCAGCGAGAAGTTGTCGKTGTCTTGTTGTTATTTCGTCTGTATCGTCATGCCTTCACAGCAGATATATGTAAAATGTATCGACAGATCTTAATCACCCCAGAACACCGGCATTATCAGCATATCCTTTGGAGAGAGTCCCCAGGCGACTCGATACAAGAGTTTGAGCTTAATACGGTGACTTACGGACTCAGTTGTGCACCTTACTTGGCATTACGAGTCCTCCAACATATAGCAGAGAATGACTGTTCGGACTACCCGTCAGTCAAGCAAATATTAAATTATCACATTTATGTTGACTACATATGCTTTGGAGCAGATTCAATTGAAGAAGCCATCAAWGTGCAAAGGGACTTTATCTCTGTACTCCATCGACCCGGGCTTGACTTGAAAAAATGGTCGAGTAATACCGCTGAAATATTGGAAGTTGTGCCTCAGGAAGATCTTATGTGTTACCCCTTGTCTTTTGACGACGGAGGAATTGATGGTGTAAAGGTGCTTGGCCTGCGCTGGAGTCAGCGTGATGATTCCTTCCACTACGTGTTCCAATCAGAAGTTCTCGTGACTACGAAGAGGGGCATGTTATCATTCATCGCAMGCGTTCTCGATCCCCTCGGGCTGTTGTTTCTAGTCATTTTTCTGACGAAGCAATTGATGTAGCGTGTATGGCGTGCTAATTTGTCATGGGACGACAATTTGCCGCCAAATATTCTCGAACCATGGTGTCAACCAGTGTCCGAGTTGCCGGTCCTGCAACAGTTGTCTATTCCTCGATTTGTCTYTACACAGCGTCTTATGTGGATTCTGCGGCGCATATGAGCGGTGTACATACGGATAGGTAACTCGTCTGGCTCCCCACTCGTTATACTGCTTGGTACCAAAACTAAATTGGCACCAATAAAGTCCGAGACGATTCCTAAGTTAGAATTAAAAGCCGCCCTTTTACTAGCTCGTTGGATGGCTCGCATTAAGAGTACTTTGTCATTAGAGTTAGAAATAATTGACGTGTTTGCCTGGTCTGATTCTAAGATCGTTCCTTAATGGTTGTCAGTTCGCCACGAGGCATTCAAGGTTTTTGTATCCAACTGAATTTATAAAATCCATTCGTTATTACCATATTGCCTTTGGAAATATGTCGCGTCAGTTGAGAATCCGGCCRATTGTGCGTCGAGAGGGTTGTCGCYACTTGAGTTAAGAGATCATAAACTCTATTGGCAAGGGCCCGCCTTGTTGAAACAACTAACTTCCTAGTGGAAGACTATGTTCACTTCCATACCTGTCGATCAACTTCCCGAAGTAAAGTCCCCGACTCGAACAACGTTGATTGCTGAAGTTCTGGTCGAATGGTTCATCCGATTCTCGTCATTTTCTCATATGATCCGAGTGATCGCTCGTCTACGTCATGTGATTCTGCGTCGCCGACCCGACTACACACMCTCAGCGTTCTTAACTCACTTAGAGTTGAATCAAGCGACGTTGATTGTTGCTCGATCTGCACAAGTCTTGGCGTTCGGAGAGGTGTTACACGAGTTAAATACTAAACTTCCGATCTCCGACAAGCACATTGCCCGTCTGCGACCCTTTATGGATGATATTGGGTTAATACGTGTCGGTRGTCGGTTATCTAACTCGGACTTGTCTGAAGATCGTAAACACCCCATATTGCTGCCGAAAACCTCGCATTTGTCGTTATTAATAGTACGTCATTGGCACTTGGTTACCGGTCACAGCGGTCCACGTGTAATGACCACATTGATAGAACGCACATTTTGGATCCTTTCACTCCRAACCCTAATCCGCCATGTAATTAGCCGATGCAAAAGATGTGTAAAATTATCCGGAGTGAGTCCGCAACCAMTTATGGCCGATTTGCCACGTTCACGAGTCTCAGAATGTCGGCTCTTTTCACGAGTCGGAATAGATTATGCTGGCCCTTTAACAATGCGAGAAAGCTGACTACGCAAGTCCCGTCATTATAAGGTGTATATTGTATTATTTGTGTGTTTCAGCATAAAGGCTGTCCATTTAAAGCTGGTCTCGGATTTAACGACAGATGCCTTTTTTGGCAGCACTGAATCGTTTTGTTGCTCGCCGTGGCCTGCCAGATGAAATCTTCACCGACTGCGGAACAAATTTTGTCGGTGCCCAGAGGCAACTCCAAGGCAGGGGCGTCATTTCAACTTTTTTTTTGTTGGTGCGAAAATGTTTGCAGGCCATTCAAATTGTTACCAGGCCACATAGAAAACTTTTTTT